AAAACCCCCCCCCCCCCCCCTTTTTTCCTTTTGAGCGGGAGGGAGAGAGTATGCATGCAAAATATTTAGTTACAACTTCTGCGAAACGCACCGATCTGTAACAGCATTTTCTACTTTCACAAAGGATTTTCCTGTTACTTTTGTTCCGGTCACAAAATTAAAAAAAAAAAAAAAGCGAAAGAAAAAAAACTTGGGGGAGAGATAAGGTCTGGAAAACAATCTGGAATTGCCAGGCTGTTGGTGGGAGCTCTGCGGGGCTGGCGTCAGGAAGTCTGCGCCGCCTTCTATTACTGTTGATCCAGCTTTGTGCAGCTGCACTCAGTACAATTAGCTTGTAGAAACAATCCTGCTGTAGGCAGCCTCTTCCCTTCAAAGTGCTTTTCTATACTGATCCCCTCACATCATGATGCTGGAAATCAAGTCACAAGCCGACCACTGTTTGGCCAACATCATCTGTGGGAATTCATTAACCTCCATCCCAGAGATGCAACAAGAGATTGTTTGTCCAGAACTAAACTTACAGCTTAATATGATGTAGCCCATACAGGAAAAAACCTGTGTCCCCATTTTTTTTGTCCATAACAAGAAACACATTGTGCAGCTTTTTTTTTTTTTTTTTTTCTTTAGGGGGTGGGGAATGTAGCTGAAACCAGGCATGAGCCGGCTCCTGCTAAAACTTTGCCATCAAACTGTTTTTTGGTTCATCAGGCTGCAGTTTCCATAGAAGCAACTTATCCCCGCGATCATCTTGTTGGGTGCACTTTGCAAGCTCATTTCCCGTCTGAGTTTGCTCTGCTGCTCTCAGATGCTGCAGCTGACACATTTCCTCCCTGTGCACTTTGCACCCACCTCATCCTTGCCCAGATGCTCAGGGCTGATTGTGCCTAAAAGGGGGTTTCATTGCACTCTGCAGCTGCCTGGGGTGGGGGGGGGGTGGGGCAGGGTATTTTTCTCTCTCTCTCCTTTTTTTTAAATTTTATTTCTACTTTTTCCTGCTTCAGTCTCAGCTCTATGCTGTTCTAGCAGCAGGCCCTCCTGGTTCCTTCTCTGCCTGCCGCTGCAGTACCAGCTTGCAGGGACGCGAGCTGCAGCCATGAGCCCTCTGCCACGCGCCCGTCGCGTGCTGCCATGTGTGAACACTGCTGGTGGCTCGCGCAGCCCCGGCCTGGGTGGAGCAATGCTGCCCTGCCACCCGTGGGGTGCAGCTGCATGCCACCAGCTGAGAAGCCGGGCCCTGGTGAGCCTGGCCAGCGTGGGCATCCCGGGAGCGGGAGGTGACATCTCCCCACTCCCAGCCATTTTTGGCAACAGCCTGTGCTGCTGGGAGCACGGGCCCGGCTTCCCAGCGCCCCTGCTTTTGCCCCTGATGGGGCTCTTTGCATCTTTCTGGCAGCGTCTCTTGTAATGGGGTGGGTTTTGCTGCCTTTCTTTACTTGAGGTATCCATGAGGATCCTTCCACCCACCCCACTTTGAACACCCCTGTTCTGCCCCAAAGATGGCTGCCCCCTTGAACCTTGTTTCCACATGCCCCTTCTGCCCTGTGGATGTTCTCCTTCCCCTCAAGCCTCCTCCCGTGGATCTTGGCCCTGTGCTCGTATGCCACTTAGGCTTCCTGCTGCTGTCCCAAGCTGTGCTTCCCCACATCTTGCCCCTTCTGCAAATGAGCTTGCTTGTGACCCTTGATAAACCCTACCTGCCTTAATTCTGCTGTGCTCTGCTATAGAGATAAGCCCCCCAGACTTTACTTCCTTGCACCCGTATTCTTCCTCAAGGGAGCCATGAACACTCCTCTGACTCCCAGTTCCAAACTCCATGCCTCTCTCGGCCTTATTTCCAAAGGTCCTAGATCTACTAACTGTACGATCTCCTTTCCTCCTCCCATGGCTATACTCCTGAGGAACTTGGCTTTTTTACAATATCATTCCCTTCATCTCCACTCCTAAACGTCCCTCCTCTGCTGCTGTTATATTCCCCTGAGTTGCGTGGTGTTGGAGGCTTGGGAAGTACTCTGGGGAAACGTATCTGCGTTCTCATTTCTTCTTAGACCTATGCTTTTGGCCAGTGTTGGAGTATAGGACGGACAGCCCTTTGGTCCGATTTAGGTTTGACATGCTTATGGTCGTATATTCATTCCCACTCCCAACTCTGTGCTCTTCTCCAGGGTTATCTTCTACCCAAACCCCTTTTTCCAGCGGTACCTGCCAAGAGGGATGCTGTCTGCGTGAATTACATTGTTTTGCAGGGATCTTTATGTCAAATCCAAGTTCAGATACTGGTTCCTAACGTTTTCTTCAATTGTTCAGGGTTTCTCGTTCCTATAAGTAGGATCAGTGCCCCAAAGGCGTTACTGTATAAGCTGCCACCTGCAAAGGGCCATTGCTTAGTTGCTTCTACAGGAAGAATAGTGCTGTGAAATCATTCTGAAAGCAGCGTCGCTTTGGCAGAGTAAACATTAATGGTGTAAGGTGTAGTGAACCCAAGTATTACCTCTTAACAGGTTTACACAGAAGTAAACATACTTCTTTCTTTTTTGTATCTTTAACTGTGGTAACTGAGATGATTCCTACTAATGTTAATGCCTATGTTTTAGTTAAGTTACAGAGCATGCCTTCTAGAAGTGTCTATAGTGAACCGATTAGGCAGCTCCATAACTTAATGTGGTTGTGCTCAAACCTGGGATCAGACAAGCTCCTTTCTTAGCATGTGGCTTATGTAGCAGAACCAAACCTGATTTTCACCTACTGTAGCTTTTCTAGTGATACCGTTAAACTAGCATAGCTCTAAAATGTTGCAAGTTTTGCACCCCCTCAACAATTCTCAGGAAGGAACCAAGGAATAAAAAAAACTGGCTTGTTCTTTCCTGTGTTACTTATCAGTCTCTCTGGCCTAGCTCCACTCAGCCTCCCAGCTCAGGCTACCTTTGATTTTTAGGTACAGGCCTGCACGAATAAGATGACAAAATGGTTAGTTTCATTTCACTGGGAAGGGGAGAGATGGGAGATTGGATTGGTGGGAGAGGACTTTGAAAATCTGTTCCAGGTAGTGTTTTTTCCTTTCAAATTGTAAACTTATGATAATTTTAAGGATAGATATATTTGCATAATATGCGCTGTGCATTTGTTGTTGTTCGGTAGTAATAATATTTCATGAAGGCAGAGGAGAAATGAAGTCTGTAGTGCAACTGTGACCTAGCTGCTACAGTCTTGCCCTGCTGTTTCCTTCAGTTAGAATACCTCCGTTACATGGCGGAAAGCCTTCTGGTATTAAGTAGGCAGTGCTAATTTACTGATTTACGGAAGCTATTGTTATGTTAGGAGAGGACCCACAGCATTCTGAGTGCTCTTTAACCAAGGTACAGAGCAAAATTTTCTACAGTCTGGAAAGGCTAATTCCACTCAGATTGCAGACACTGGAAGTGCAACTTAGCAAAATGTGTGCACTTCTTAGCCTTTTAAAATTCTGCTTCTCCGTAGGCCCAGAATCAGCTCTGTCTAGGTTAAGCTGACTTTCCTAGGGGCTCTCTCCCGCATGAACCCAACTGGGAGTCACAAAATAGGTACGTGTCTAAATCTCCTGAGGGGCCTGGTCCGGGACGTGTGCTCAGATCATGCTTAAATGCACACTGACAGCATGGAGCTTAGCACAAAGCACGGCAGCTGTAGCTGCTGAAAGGTTTAGCGGGAGAAAAGGAAAGTGCTTTTCTTTTATAAAACGCTTTTCTCTTGAGAGCACTCGCCCTGGAAGAGAGATACTCAGGTTCAACGTTCTCCTCATCAGAGCCGGCATAAACACCCTTGTGCTAGC